CCAGGGCCCCGGAGTTTTTAGTCCCTCCCCCCTGCCCCTTCCCAATCCCTGAGCCCCCATTTCCCCCTGGGGGAGGGGCCAGCTGGGCCCTGCCCATGCCCTCCAAGCCCCCCCCCCCCCCCCCATCACAGCTTTTCTCTCTCTGGGTAACCCAGACGTCCAGTTTTCTCTCTGCCCTGAGGGTGTCACTACAGGGTCTGGCTCACCACAGGGACAGGGTGGTGGGGGTGGGAGGATTGGCGCTCAGAGAGGAAGGAGGCAGGCACACGGGAGCCACCAGGACCCTGCCAAGGACTTCCTCAGCAAGCCAACGGTGCCACCTCGCCTCGGCACAATATTCCGTCTCTTCTACTGGGTGGAAACAAAAACCACACATCAAGACTTGTTTAGATGATGAATGCAAACAAGAGAAGGGAAGTGCAGAGAACACTGAAATATTTACATCTTTTCAAGTAAGGCAGTCTGGTCTTTGTCCGGCTGATAAACGGGTCGCAGGGCAGCCTGCGGTGGTTGCACGTGAATTTGCGTATGGTTTGACGTGCTACGTTCTTGTCTTTTTGACAAGCGTGTTGTGTTTCCTGTGCAAGAGTCCCCACTCCGCTGAGCTGGGCACCTTTGTAAATCCACGAGGATTCTTCTCAACAGTCTCCATTGAGATAAATAGCAAAGCCTTTCAGAACATCTCAGCACAAATTGTATTTTTATTTGGGGTTGCTCCTTCGAGGTCGCGATTTCTGGAGAAAGGTTGTCCACAGCAATTTTTGCATCTGCTCCTGACCTCCAGGGCTCCTCCTGAACCCGGAACAAGGCCAAGCACGGCCAGATGTGCAGAGCGGCCCCTGTTCCATTGGTCCTGCCAAGCCTGGGCGTTTCTGCCTCACAATCCGCCAGGTTGGGAAGTGGAGGGCTGCTGACAAGCTTCTCTTGTTCTCACCGTGGCCATCGCTCCTGGTGTCAGGGGCTGGGCTTTTCCTGTAGCGCCCGTTAACTTTGCCACCACCAATACCCTGCCCTCCGCCACACACACACACACACACACACACACACACTGCCAATCAAAATCCCAAAGCTTGCCCTTTTTAAAAAATATATTTTTTTATTGATTTCAGAGAGGAAGGGTGACGGAGAGAGATCTGGAAACATCAATGATGAGAGAGAATCATTGGTCAGCTGCCTCCTGCATGCCCCCTACTGGGGATTGAGCCTGCAACCCAGGCATCAACCCAGGCCCGGAAACAAACCCGGGACCCTTCAGTCCGCAGGCCCGACGCTCTATCCACTGAGCCAAACCAGCTAGGGCCCAAAGCTTGCCTTTTTAATGACTGAAGTGATCCATGAAGCATTTCAAAGAATTAACAGGCAGGGGGGAAAAAAAAACTTTGAAAAAATGAGGGAAAGCTTGGCCTCCAGGTATTAAATTCTACTAACATTAAACCATTCAACCTGGTATTGGCATAATTTGGTAAAGTTAAAGTTACAGATATTGGAAAGCAAAAGGTTCTAGAATAGATTCTCCCCCCGCCCCCCGCCCCCAATTTGGAGGAAACGCTTTACCTTTCTAAAGGTGAGACAATGGGAGAAAATGAAAGGGAAGATGGGATGACAGGTAGATGGTTTCATATCCGTGGAGCATATACTGTTATGTTAATACGTAAGTAAGTGGAGATGAGACACCAGCACAGATTGGTGATGCTGTTGGCACGCCCGGGGCTCAATTCATGCAGTCAGTCCTCAGGGTCTGAGGAGCTCTAACCAATGCCCCACACGGGACCCAGAGCAGAGGGCGTGAGCAAACTTTCCCAACAGAGGACATCCCAGCGATGAAAACAGACTTAAGTTCTGACGAGTCACACCCACAGTCAAGAGTGAGTGTCACAACAGCAGGCATCCCTGGGCCGGTGGCCGCGGTGACCGGGACCTGCCTGGGTCCGTCCCGGGGCTGCTCAGCAGTTAAAACGGAGCCGGCACTTCCTCTTGGTTCGCGACAAGAATGCAAATGAGTGGCTCGAAAAACCTCAGTCTTGGTGGCCTCGTTGTTGTGACGTCCAGACCAACAGACTGATTTATAAGACGACTTCTCAGCCCCGGGCAAGGACAGGAAGCTTGGCGGCCATTCTGAACTCTTGGTCCAGTGGCTTCTGCAGGGGCTACGGAGAGACCACAAAGCACCCAAGAGCCTGGCAGGGGGCGGGGTCCAGCTGACCACCCGCAGGGCGACCCTCTGGTCAACACCACTAACTCCGAGATCTCCCACACAGAGACAGCAGGACCCGGCCCTGGCGTCCAGAAGTGGGTGCAGAGAGGGTGGCAGCTGAGCCAGAGACAGTGGGGGTGCTGAGGGCTCTCAGGAGCAGGACAGCAGGTGCCTGTCCAAAGGGGGCACCTCCAGCTCACCCGGTGGATGGGGAGGGTGCCCTGGGGGGGCCTGGCCTGGCTGCCCATCCTGCACACGGCCCCCTCGAGGAAGTCCAGTGCAGAGGTGTCCGCTGCTCAGAGACGCCGCCAGGCCCTCGCCACTGACCCTCCAGAGGTCTGAGTGTGTGCGGTGGGCAGGGTGAAGGGAGGAGGGCGGCAGCTGAGCAAGCATTCTCATCAGATCCCTGCCCCGGGCTGGCGGGAGGCGGGAGTGGCTGTGACTGAATGTGATAAGAGACTTCAGTGGCTGACGGCTCTGTCTCCTGACTGTCTGGGGGTTCGCCTGCCACAGTGACAAACTGGGTGAAAGAAGAGTCACCACATCTGTAAATAAATGCGCTGGTCTCCCTTCGGGGTTTTCTCCGCATCTTAATTGCTCCGCCTTCCTGCCTGGCTGCTGACGTCTGTCTGTCGTCCACTGCTGCCTGGAGCCTGGCCACACCCCAGCTCTGCATTCACCAGCTCCTGGGACCTGGGACAAATCGTCTCACCTATCCGTGCCTCAGTTTCCCCAGCCATAGAGCCAGCTGTTAACATGGACTCTGGAACCCGCTCTCCACCTACTGCCTGGTTTCTCCCTCCGCTGCGTCTGCGGCCCTTCCTCCTCTCCCAGAGCCGCTGAGCTGGCAGGGAAGGTCAGCCCCGCGGCTTGTCCCTCGGGGATGCTCTCTCCACCTCTCTTTGCACAGAAAGCAGGCCGGCGTTGTCAGCTGCGCCTGGGAATGGGGCCTGGTGGCCAACCCAGGTCCACTCCCTTTCCTGCCCGTGCTGTTGCCATGGTTACAGATGCAGCAACCCAGGGCTCCGATGCAGCATCCCAGACTGGACTGTGAATCCAGCTGCCCTGCCTCCCGCGCGGGCCCCTCCTCGGTCTGGGGCTGAACCGAGGACTCACCTCCTGTGTTGGTGACGCTCCAAGGCTCGCGTTTCCTGAGTGAGAACTCCCAGGCCCGGCGTCAGAGAGCGGATTCCAGCCCAGCCCTGCCCCAAACAAACCGCCTCCTGACTCGCCATCCCCCCTCCAGTCCTCACCACCTCGGGTTGAAATGGAAATATTCTCTACCGTGCCAGCCACTGTGAGCATCAGCCCCGGATGTGCTGTCCAGGGACTTCACAGCTGCTGCCCCCTCCCCAGTGGCCGGCCGGCCTGGGGCCACCCCGAGGCCTGAGAGCGGCTGCTGACCTCTTTGCTGTGTCCCACAGGGTATGCATTTGGCCTCACCCCATGACCCAGCCCCTCACGCCATGGGCTCGCAGGCCTGTCTCCACTGCCCAGCCAGGTCTGCAGTTAGGGGCGGGTGGGGGGGGGGCGGTGAGAGGTGGGGGAGGGGGCACAGAGGTGCAGACAACAGAATCCACTCCAGCCGATTTAAGCACAAGGAGGTTTATTGAGGGCTCAGCGACGGGGGAGGACGGTGGAATCAGACTTTAGACGGAACTTCCAGGAGGAGGACTCCCGGTGCCACTCCAGGCTGCTGCCATGGCCGGGAGCTGCCTTGATTCCAGAATATTCCACCTCCCACAGCCTGTGCCAACAGCCCTGCCTCCCCCGGTAACTCAGCCCAGGATCAAAGTCCCTGCAAACGCTTCTGTTGAGGACCCGCTGCAGGGAGCCTGGCAGCACACGAGAGCCAGCAGGCAGGGCCGGTGCCCAGCGCCCATGCAGGTGCCCAGGGGCCTCTGCTCACTACACCCCTCTACCCCATGAGGAACCCCAAAGTTGTCTGGCCTGGACCCCCAGGTCCTGTGAAGAGCCTGTTACCTGGATGGCAAAGAGAGCCAGGGAATGGGCCGGCGGAGGCACCCCTTTTGCCATGTAACCACCATTGTCAACACTGGTCCCCTGGACAGGGCCAGCCTGACCCCGGCCTCTACAGATGTAAGATGGGGTCAAACACTGGACCCAATGGTGTGGGGTGGGTGGGGTGGGGAAGGCTGTGTCAGTCAAGGGCCCAGAGGGCACCCAGTGGCCCATACTCAATATGGCAGCAAAGAATATGGGGGTGCAGGCAGGGCATCATCCTAAGGGGTTCCTTGAGGAAGAGGAAGGAGGAGGGGAAGGGGGAGGAGAAAAGAGAAGAGGAGAGGGCTGTGCCCTGAAACCGTTCTCAGGCACCAGAGCTGGGAGCTCCATGAGCAGGGAGGAGCTGGGGGTCTTGGAGTTGAGGTCCTGGGGGTCTTCCTGGAGGGAGGTGTCTTCCCCTGGGAGACTCCATGAGGGGCGAGGAGCCCCAAAAGGCTGGAGGTGGGCAGCCCCTGACGGCTCTCGATGCAAGGGAGAGGGCCCTTGAGTGCTCTAGGTCCTCACCCACCTCCCGGCCCCACAGGGTCCACACCAAGGGAAGGTGGCCTTGGGCTGGGGGCCAGCAAAGGGGTGGGGAGGGGGAAAGCCCACCTACTCTCCATGCACCCCCTGAAGAGCCACGTGTGGTGGCATCAGGCGCTGGCTGATTTGGGGTGAGAGCAAATGGAGTCCCTAGCAGCAAGGAGGGGCCCCCCACAGTGCTGAGGCTGGCGGCACCCACAAGAGGCCTTGCAGGACCCTGACACTCCCCTCTACCCCTGGGCCTGTGCTGCTCTCTTCCCCTGACCCAGGGGTCACAGCCATCAGGGAGGCCCACAGGAGGTGAGCTCCTTGTGGGGTGGGACCCTGTCCCCACCAGTGCACATGGGATGGGGGGAGGGGACCCAGATCACCCAAGGAGGCTGTGTCCTGCCGGTCAGCCAGCAGTGGAGCCTACCTGCTCCACACAGCCTTTGTCACACACGTGGACAGACTTCTTGGTTTTAGTTGTCACTGGAAAGGTGGGCAGGGCTGTGGGCTGGCGGTCTGTGGAGCAGCAGGTGGGCATCGATGGCCGAGTCAGCCCTGCCTCCCACGCCCACTCTGGACAGTGAGCAGCGGAGAGCCCCTCTCTTTACCCTGCACGTGCTGTGCACCCCCCACCCCCATCCCGTGAACACGGGCGCAGCGCCTTAGGGTGTGGGAGGTATTGGGAACCTCTAGGCGGGTCCTTGTTAATGCGCCGAGACTGAGAAGTCACAGCCGCGTTCGGACGAGCCTTTCGGTCTCTGTGCAGCGGCTGGGGCTCCGGATCAGCCTGTAAATGCGACCCCACATTCGTTTCCCACGTCAAGTCACTCGGAACTTTCCAAGGACCAACCACCCGCCATCGTTCATCGCTTCTGAGCTTCTGCTTGATGAGGCTCCTGTCCTTTATACCTTCAGTTCATAGCAATTTATCCCTATTTGTTCCCCCCCAAAAAATATTCAAAGTCGTGTAAAATATAAACACTCATACAAAAGACAGTAACACAAAACTGGGAAGATGAATCAGAGTCATACAGGTGGAGGTAACCTCTGCCCTGGACGTGTAGCTATATAAGAAAATCGAGCACTCAGTGAGCTGAGAGTCCTGGCAGCAAAGGTGGAGCGAGAGAGAGAGAGAGAGAGAAAGAGGGAGGGGGGAGGGAAAGAGGAGAGAGAGAGAGAGAGAGAGAGAGAGAGAGAGAGAGAGAGAGCTTGTTGGAGAAAAGGAAGAGTCCCGTTGATTGGCCTGGAAACATCACTCATCGGTCCTGTCCTTTGAAAGGCGCTGCTTTAGGTGTTGGTGAGTAGAAAAGCAAGGCACGGCGGCGACCAGCGATGACCGGCCTTCCCACAAGCCAGGCAGACCGCGTGGGACTCGGGCCGAGCTTGTCCTCAGGTTCTTCTCCGTGGTGTTTCGGTTTCAGGTTTTGGGCTTTTCCCCCTCTCGCCGGACTGAAATTTTATTCCTCACAATCATTTGAGAATAAACACGGTTGTTCACCCCCTTCCCTCTCCTGGCCTCTCCTATATACTTGGCTCTGGACAGATTCTGTGGTCCAATGTGTTCAGGAACTACTAGGGGAGCAGAGGCGCGTCCGTTCCTCAGTGTAGGGTCACCTGTGCCTTCAACGGGTGAATCTGCACCCCAAACTCCACCGTGGACACTCGTAGTCATGGACACAAGCCCCTCCTTCTCTGAATGCGTTCACTCCCACGGTGCCGCACGGGAGAGGCTTGCGAGTGGAAGGGACACTTAGAGGCAGCCTGGTTTTAAGTCCCGACTGGATCGTTTCCTGTGACATCACAGGCAAGTCAGTCCGTTCTCTAAGCTTTCGTGTCTTCCTCCCTCAGCGGGTCTGACGGTAACATCACCTGGCTCGAAGGGCACTGCGGTGACTCAGTGCAATTGGAGGAAGTGTTTGATCAGAGTGTGCACTGCCCAGAAGCAGCTGTGACTCCCACCTGGCCGGGGGGACACCAGGAGCCGGAGTCAGTCACCACCTGCCACAGAGTGATGGCCCTCCACGGGCACTAGGATGCAGGGCTGAGGGGGTCCTTGGACACGGGGGTGCTGGGCAGGGATTTCAGGTACTCCAGGTGTCTCCTGGCATCCTCCTGGTTCTGACGCACATAGTACACGATGTAGGTGATCACCATGGCGAACCAGCCGAACATGGTGACCAGCATGGCCACGTCGGTGGTCTTGTGGTGGGTGCTGCAGAAGCTGACGCCGGCGTCCAGGGCCTGGATCAGCGGCTTCCCTACGTACTCCTCCTGCACGGAGGTGTGGCAGGCGATCTCATCCACCGAGTCGGGGTCCAGCTTCAGCTCCCACAGGGCCTCCTGCAGGGCACACTCACAGTGCAGGGGGTTGTGGGACAGGCGGATCTTGGCGCTGAGCTTGCCCAGGGCGTCCTTGGGAATCCTGCGGATGCGATTGTGAGACAGGTCCAGCAGCCGCAGCGCGCCGGCCAGGCCCGAGAAGGCAGCGGGGCCGATGGTCTCGATGGCGTTCTGGGACAGGTCCAGCTCTCTCAGCTGGCTCAGGTGCTGGAAGGCTCCGTTGGGGACGCGGGCGATCTTGTTGGCGTCGAGCTTCAGGAACACGGCGTTGGCGGGGATGTCCTTGGGGATCTCCTGCAGGCCGCTCGCACTACAGTGGACGGCGACGGCCCCATCGTGGTCGGGGCACTGGCAGCTCTGCGGGCAGGAGGTGCCCAGGCGAAGGCAGAAGAGGAGGAGGAGGCAAGACCCTCCCATGGGGACCGGCACGGACGAGAGGCTCTGCTTGCCCGTGGGGCCCATCCTGACCGCACCTGGAGGCAGACGGCGCGCTCCTCCGGCCCAGGGCTGTGGGCCTACATCCTTCCCCGCTTCCCTGGACGCTGCTTCCGATAGGGACATAAACTCTTGTCCTCGCCTGCCAGGAAATCGTGTTTTCTTTCCGTTCTGAAACAGAGGAGCAATGGGCATTGTCCACGGGGTTCAGCCGGCACCCAGGCACACCTTGACTTTGAGGCAATACCACAGGCAAATTGAAGCCTCTGACCAGTGGGGGTCTCTCTAACTTATTTCTGGGGACTCCCAACGCCACCAGAAGAGCAAGAGCAGGCTCTACTGACCCCTGGTTGGGGGGAGGCACCCATCAACATGGTGGGACAGCCCTGCCCCCTAAGCTGGACACACCCTCTAGACACCCAGGGACCAGGGGCCTGGACAGCACTGGGTGATGGCAGCCTGGAGTCCACCCTCTCCCAGCCCCTCAGGGTGGGAACGGGGAAGACTGAATGCAGAGCCCGAACCAACCCACAACCACCGGGAACCAGCGGCTCATCACTCCCCGCCAGGCTGCTGCAGAAGCTTAGCACTTTGCTAATTGTGACAACCCTTAAAAATTATAATAATGGATAAAGCTCTTCTCTGCCCGCCCTAAGAGGAACAGCCACCGGGCACCTGCCCTGGGGTGGGCGCCTTTTATTTCCATTATGCTTGGGAAGGAAGGAAGAGGAGAACAGAGAAAAGCCAAGCCCTGGGCGCGCGCTGCGCTGGGGCGTGGAGTGGCGGGGCCGCGCGGGGCCTGGGCTGGAGGGGCTCGGACCCCGGGACCCCGAGATCCCCAGGACCCGGGGAACCACGGGCGGGTAATAGGGACGCGGTGTCCACACTCCCGGGAGGGGCGGGGGCTTTACCTGCGCGGCCACGAACGGAGGCTGCTCTGCGCGAGGATCTCCGCGGCTCGAGCCCGACCCGGCGCCACACCCTGGCGCGGCGGGGACCCCGAGGCCGGCACCCAGGGTGGCCGGGGCTCTGCCATGCACTTCGCGGGCCGGGGCCTGGGGGCGGGCGCCTCCGCCAAGAGGGGCCAGGGCAGGGCCAGGGCGGCGCCGGGGAGCCTTGGGTCGAGGGCGAAGCCTGGGGCGGGACTAGAGGGCTAGGGGGGCAGGGCCTGGGGCGTGGCCTGTGGGAAAGCGTGGGGCGGGGCTGGGTCTTTTGAGTGGGTGTGTCTCAGGGGCTGTGGGCGGGGCCTACGGGCTGGGCGGGCCCGTGAGCACACAGAGCCCCGCCCCTCCCGGGTCCACCCAGCTGCGCGCGGTGGGGAGTGGGGGGCGCGAGCCCCCTCTTGGCGCTGACACCTGCACGCAAGGGGCCTGAAGACCCTCGGATCCGCGCCAAGCCCTTGAGGTGAGTCCCTCTTGGGGTGCGTCCCTCGGCCCAGAAGCTGGGTAGTGGGGTTAGGTCTCCACCCACCCGCGTCCCCTCCTGCCCAGGGCTCTCACCGCACCCCCACCTTCTGTGTGTTAGGGTCCGTGCACGGGGGCCTGGAGAAGAATAGGGAATGTGTAAGCCGGGGCATTTAAAAGCGGCTTTATTGTGGTGTGGTTGGTATACAAGAAACCACACATCTAAACTTGGTAAGTTTTGACATTTGTATACACTCATGAAACCATCACCATAATCTACGCAGTACACACTCCAGTCCCACCCTTGGTACTCCCTCCCCTCCTTACCCCCCTCCCAGGCAAGCGCTGATCTGTCTGTCGCTGTGGATTCAGTTGGCATTTCTTACCATTCATGTACATGGAATCACAGGTATGTGCTTTTTGGGTCTAGTTTCTTTCCCTCAGCAGGATTATGTGTTTATCAAGTTGTTCCTTTTAGGGCTGACTAGTCATTCATCCTAGGAATGTTCCAGTTTCCGTATCTGTCTGTTCCTGGACATTTGGGTTGTTTCCATTCGTTGCCTGTTACAAATAAAGTGATACAAACATTGTGTCCTACCGTTGTTTGGACAAATACTCATTTCTCTTGGGTAAATATCTAGGAGTGGGATGGCTGAGTCACCGGTAGCTGTAAGTTTAATGTGAGAGAAACTGACAGGATGATTGTACAAGTTTACATTCCTGCCCACAGTGTGTGCTCACACCCTCACCAGCACTTGGCATGTCAGCCTTCTAAATTTCAGACACTCTACTAGGTGTGTACTGGTATCTCATTGTGGTTTGAATTTGTACTTCCCCGGTGGCTAATGATGGTGAGCATCTTTCATATGTTTTGGGTTTTGTTTTGTTTTGTTTTGCCATCTATCTTCTTTAGGGAAGTGCTCTGTTCAGATCTTTTACCCACCTCTAAATGAGTTGTTTTCTTATTTTGAGTTTTGAGAATTCTTTACATATTCTGGATACAAGTCCTTTATCAGATATGTGATTTGTAAATATTTCCTGTGAGTGTGTGGCTTGTCTTTTCATTCTCTTAAGAGCTTTTCAAAGAGAAGGTTTTAATTTTTATGAAGTCCAATTTATCAATTTTTCTTATATGGATGGTGCTTTTGATGTCATATGTAAGAAATCTTTGCCTAACTCAACGTCACAAGGGTTTTTATAGTGTAAGTTTTGCCTTTGGTTTTAATATCCAACTTGAATTAATTTTGATACATGGTGTGAAATTTGAGTCCAAGTTTATTTTTTGTGTGCATATGGATATTCAGTGTTCCAGAACTGTTTGTTGAAAAATTATTTCTCTACTGAATTACTTTTGTACTTTTGTTGAAAATCAGTGATCCATATCTGTGTGAGTCTATTTCTGTACACTCTGTGTTCATTTGGTCTATTTGCCTATTTTATGCAAATGTTCCAAGCTGTCTTCATAGCTGGATCTTTATAATAATTCTTGAAATCAGGAAATATAAATTTTCCAGCTTTGTTCTTTCATAAAGTCTTTTTGGTCATCCAAGATGTATTTCCTCATTTTCCCAACTTCTACTAAAAAAAGCCTAGTAGGATTTTGTTTGGGATTGCATTGACTCTATAGGTCAGTTTGAGAGAATTAACATCTTGACAATATTAAGTCTCCAATCCATGAACATGGTATATCCTTTCATTTATTTAGAGCTTATTTTATTTCTTTCATCTGGGTTTTATAGTTTCTGGTTACAGATCTTGTGCATCTTTTGTCAGATTTATCTCTGATTATTGTTAATGGCATTTTTGTTTCAATTTCTGGCTTTTAATTACTAATATGTAGAAGCAAAATTGATTTTTGTATTCTGATCTTAACTTTGCTAAACTCATTAGCTCTAGGAACTTTTAAATAAACACTTCAGGATTTTCTACATATGCAGTCATCTTCTCTGTAAATAAAAAGATTTGAGTTCTTTCTCTCCAGTTTGGATGTGTTTTAAATTCCTTTTCATGACCAATTACACTGGCTTGAGACTCTAGTTTAATACTGACCAGAAGAGGAGATCTCCTTGTTCCTGATATCAGGGGGAAAGGAAAGCATTCAGTCTTTCACCATTAAAAACAATGTTGGCTGCTGGTTTTTTGTATGTAGCTATCCTTGTCCGTGTGAGGAAGTGTCCTTCTATTACTAGTTTGCTGGGAGTTTCTATCAGAAATGCTTGTTGGACTTGGTGAAATGTTTTCTGCATTTATTGAAAATCTTTTTTTATTATTCTGTTAATATTATGGATTATACTGATTTTCAAGTGTTAAGTTGACCTTGTGTCGTTGGGATAAATCACAAGAAATCTTTGCCTACCTCAGATTCACATGGTGAGTATCATTTTATATGTTGTTAAACTATTCTGTACAGATGGAACTTCTGAGGTTATTTTTTTCCTTGATTGAATGTTGATAGTTTGGATTTCTTAAGGAATTGTCCATTTATCTAAATTGTTGAATTTATCATCATGAAGTTGTTCATAATATTCTGTTATTAATCTTTCCATGTACAGTGATGGCACCTTTCTCATTCCTGGTATTAGTCACTTGTGTCTTCGCTCTTTTCTTTTACTCATCAGTCAGGAGAGAAATTTGTCAATTTTATGGATATTCTCAAAGAACCAATTTTTTGTTGCATTGGTTGCTCTATTGTTTTCCCTTTTTTATTGACTTCCACTATGATCTGTATGCTTTCTTTTGCTTACATTGGGTTTAAGTTTCTCTTCTTTTTCTGGTTTCTTAAGGTGGAAGCTAGGTCACTAATTTGAGGCCTTCTTCTTTAGTACAGGCTATAAATTTCCCTCAAAGTTCTGTTTTCTATGCACCCCCAAAATTTTGATTTGTTGTATTTTCTTTTTAAAAAATATATATTTATTTTATTGATTTCAGAGAGGAAGGGAGAGGGAGAGAGAGATAGGAACATCAATGATGAGAGAGAATCATTGATTGGCTGCCTCCTACAAGCTCCCCACTGGGAATTGAGCCTGCAACCCAGGCATGTACCCTTGGCTGGAATCGAACCCAGGACCCTTCAGTTCACAGGCCAACACTCTATTCACTGAGCCAAACCAGCTAGGGCGATATGTTGTATTTTCATATTCATTGGGTTAAAAATATTTTCTAATTTGCCTTTTGATTTCTTTTCTTTTTGTGATCCATGGATTTAGAAGTGTGTTATTTTGTTTTCAGACATGTGGGTATTTTCCAGAGATCTTTCTGTTTTTTACTTATTAATTTAAATCTATTGTTGTTGGAGAACATACTCTGTATGTTTTGGACCCTTTTACATTTGTTGAGACTGATTTTATGGCCCAGAATAGGGCCTTTGTTAATCATTGTTATGTGTGCACTTAAACGTGAGTTCTATTGTTGCTCAGTAGAACGTTGATGAGGTCATGTCTGCTGATGGTACGATATTCAACTGTTCTATATTATGACTGACTGTCTGCCCACTTGCTCTATTAATTATTGAAAATGGGTGTTGCAGTCTCTGACTCTGATTGTAGATTAATCCTTTTCTCCTTGCAGTTCTGTTTTTTTTTGTTTTTGTTTTTTTTTGCTTTATGCACTTTGAAAGCCTATATTCAGATTGTGTCCTCTTGATTAAATGGTCACCTTGTCATGGTAAAATGGCCCTTCTTACCCCCAGATTCTTTGTCTTGAACTCTGTTCTGTCTGACTCTAACAGTCACCCCAGCCGTCTTTTCATTAGGTTAGCATGGGCTACCTGTTTCCATTGTACTTTTAACCTCGAGTGTCTTATACTTAGTTTCCTTCGGGATTTCCATAGCATTCAAGTATCTTTTTTAATATATTTGTTAACTACAAAGGTGAGAATAACAACCTTACAGTGGAGAAACCACCTGACTCTGTGACCAAGGTTAAATCCTCAGTAATAAGACAGACAGCCATCATGTAGCCTCTTGATGCGATGGACTGAGAGAGACTCAGCATCAGTTTGTGGTGTTCTTGCCCCAAATGCACAATCTGCCATCGTGAGAACACTCCAGACTCACATCGAAAGACGGCTACAAAGGACTGATCAGTACGCTCCAAAAATGAAGAAGGAGGTCGTAAAAGACAAGAAAGGCCTGAGTCACTGTTACGGACTGGAAAAGACGAAGGAGAAATAGCTAAATGCAGTGTGGGCCCTCGAATAGACAAGGACGTTGGTGGAAAAACGAGTGACACTGACTAAGGCCGGTTGTTCCGGGTCGTGCTTTCCCGCGGATGACGTCCTGCTTCAAAGCTCGTGTGAAGGGATAATTGGGGCAGTTGGGCGCCAGTCTGTCTGCCTCTCTTTCTTCCCCTTTGATCCCGTGTCCTCTTTTCCTGACTTCCCTTGCATTGAACATTTTTTGGTCCATTTTCTCTCCTTAGTTGTCTCCTGCCTGTAACGGTCGCTGTGTCGTTTCCTGCTTTGGGGGGTAGCGTCCGGCATCACAGTCCTTCGCCAGGCCACCCGGGGCCACTCCACCAGTGAGAGCCCTGCAGCCGTGCGCACCCCTGGGGGCTGGGCTGTGGTCGCACGGTTTATGTCCACATGTGCGGGAACCCCACAAGACATTATTCGTTCTGCCTTACACAGCCAGCCGCCTTTTAGAGATTAAAATACAGTCAGCCAGGAAGCTGCAGGTATGTTATTTTCTGGGCTGCAGATATGTTATTTTCTGGGCAATTCAAGAGGTGCCAAAGGGAGCCCCCAAATTATGGAATATTTTTAATATTTAAACAAAGCATATGGCGACCACCAAGAGAAGGACAGTGTGGATGCGGGTGAGTGGGAGAGGCCGGACACTCAGAGCTCACACTGTGTGTTTCTGTTTATGGAAAGCTCAGGAGCAGGCAACACTCCAGGGGTGGTGGACCTCAGGATGGGGATGGGGATGGGGGATGGGGCTCCTGGGGTGGGTGTTATGTATCTGGATCTGGGTGCTGCTTGTTAACATAAAAAATCCACCAAAGCGGATCACACTCAACATGTGTGCAGTGACGAAGGTGGGCCGCTCACAGGGGAGTCCACGTGTGAATGACGTACACGTGGACGGGTGGGTGGATCAGTCAGTCCCAGGTGCCCGTGGAAGGCTGTGTTGAGCTGTCTCCCGGCCCTTGGTTCTGTGGCCTCCTGACTAGTGATGATGTCAGAGGTCCACAGAGGCTCTGGCTGCCGGCCAGGCCCAGGCTGCAGGGCCCTGTGAGAGCCTAGCTCGCTGTCCATTCCAGGCCATGAGTCAGTGTTCCCAAACACACCAGCACCTTCCAATGCCATTCGGCCGCGTGCTCTGCCCACCGGGCCACCCTTCTTACTGTAATTGGACTCTGCGCTGATTATCTGGCCTATTTATCCACCCGGAATCCGGCGTCGTGGCCCCAGGGAGCGAATGCAGCTCTGCGGCTGGTTAATTGCCTGCCCGTCAGGGAGGCTGTTTTGCAGGGTGAGATCTGAGTGCTGCTCTCTGGGGAGGAGTGAGGAGGAGCCGAGCGTGCGGCACCACCAGGGCCGGATGAAATTGGGCAGATGAACAAAACATCCGGGGAGGCCCAGACACTGCCCTCCCCACACAGACCGAACAGTGGCCTGGTGGGCCCTTCCTTGGGCCCTGGCCAGTGTCCAGGGCTGTGCCGGCTGCTCCCCCTCCTGCCCTTCCACTGTGCCTGGCTCAGCCCTCTGCTGCCCAGGCTCCACACTGTCCCCACCTGCCCATGGGGACCCTCAGACAGAAGCCCAGGCTGCTGGGCACCCTGAGGTCAGCCAACTCCCAGGCAGGGCCGGAGCAGCCAACTCAGAGGCAGGACAAGGGCAGCTGGCCGAGAACCCACTTGTTGCATGGGAAGCAAAAAGCCAAGGCCAGGGACCCCACGCTGGCCAAGATCCTTCGTGGATGGATTGCCTTTGACAAAACTGTCCCCAGCAGCCTTGGCCACACTGACCTCCCACGACACTCAGAGAATTCCTAGACCTCTGAATTCCTGGATCTTCCAGAATTCCTGGTTCTCTCTGGCTGCTCTTGAAAATCCAGACTGGAAAACCTAAAATAAGGCCGGCAATGGTTCCCCTTCCAGGCTTCCCAGGAGCACAGGGCCTGAGCAGTGTCTCCCTGCCGGCACCAGCCCCCCGGACCTCCCCGCAGGGCCCTTCAGAACCAACTGCCCCCCGTCCTGGCTGCTGAGTTTCCCTGCAGAGCAGAGGGCTGCCTTCACCTCCTCTAGTATTGCTCCCAGGGTGTCCCGGCCTGTCCCCTCTGCCGGCTCTCCCTGCACACACTCACACACTCATACACTCACTCACACACACTCAGACACTCACACACACTCAGACACACACACACACACACACACTCATACACTCACACACACATACTCACACACACTCAGACACTCACTCACACACACTCAGACACTCACACTCATACACTCACACACACACTCACACACACTCATACACTCACACACACTCATACTCACTCACACACACACTCATACACTCACTCACACACTCAGACACACACACACACACTCACATACACTCACTCACACACACATACACTCACACACGTACACTCACACACATACACTCACTCACACACACTCACTCACACACACTCACACACACATCCTCACACGCACTCACATATACACACATACATACACTCACACATACATACGCTCACACACACATATATACACATACTCACACACCCATTCATACACAACAAATACACATCCACATCTATACATGTACACGCACACATACTCACACACAACCACACACACAGAGACACACATACACAGAAACACACATCCACATCTATACACGTACACACACATACACTTACACACAGAAACACACACAGACACAAACACACATCTACACACACATACACAAATATACACTTACACACACACACACATACACTCATGCACACACATACACTCACACATCCACACGCACACATGCCCACAAACACGGGGAGACGGCCACAGGAGAGGCCCTCGGGCCACGGGAAGCTTGGCCGTGGGTCGGTAGAGGTTTCGGTGGCCCAGACACGGCTCCTGACCACTGCACCTCTGGAACTTTATTTGCAGGAGGCACAGAAGAGCTGGCCGGGTGGCATGGGGCGGCCGGGTGGCACGGGGCAGCGGACTTAACGTCGGGTTTGACAACCTTCCTGGTCCTGATGCTCCTGGTGGCTTATGCTGATGGTCTGTGACTCGCTGACACTAAACGGGGTGCCCCCATCCACACCCACACTCCCTGGGCTCACAGGGAGGGACCCTCTGCGTCTCTGGAGAAGGCCTGCACTCACGGGCCTCCTGCCCCTGCTCAGCCCTGACGGTGGCCCGGGCTGAAAACTGGGGTTCCCACAGGGCCTGCCCCAGGCCAGGCGAGGGTCTGAGTCAGGCCACGGTGGAGGCCATCTTGGAGACATGGGCCTGAGGAGGAGGCCACACGGGAACCCCAACGCTCCAGGGGACACAGGCCTTGGGCCAATGTACCTCCGGTGGGGGGCGTGTACTGCTCATGACAGCATTACCAGGGGAGACTCGACTCCGGCCAAAGGCCAAGGCTGCTGGAGGCTCCAGCCCCTCAACCGGCTGCCTGCTGGCTCAGGAAAGGCAGTGATGGCTGGCGGGGTCCCCGTGGCCACCACAATCCTGAGGAAACGCCGTGTGACCGGGGCCAGCCTGTCCCCGGCCTTGGCTCCCTTCTCAGAGCGCCTTGCCAGTTCACGAACTCGTCCGGTGGGGGACTCCAGTTGGCTGAGGGGTGGCAGGTCCCCAAACCCCATCATGCTGCACCCCTGGTCTCCCCGAGGTCCACAGCTGCGTCCCCTGCAGCCTGATCTCCGAGGGGCTGGGGACAGACTGGCCCTCAGAGCCCTGGGGTCAGTAGTAGGCCCCGAACAGGGTGGCCACCTTCTGCAGGATGGCCTTGTGGTTGGCATACAGCGAGATGCGCTTGTCCACGACCTGCCATCGGACGGACATCCCGGGGTCGCCGGCGTGCAGGTGCTGCAAGGAAAGGCACATCCTGACCCCGGAGTTGCCGCCAGCACCCAGCACCCAGCACCCCAAACGTTGCTCTGACCCCCATCTCTGGGCCTCAACTGGGCTTTTATCACACGGGAGCAAAAACACCCACTTCAGACGCAACTCAGAAAATGCCTGCGGAGCCCAAAAGCCCTCGGGCGAGAATAGAGCAGGCTCCTTGCTCGGAGGTTCTATCCTGCAGACGAGGGCCTGGGTTTGCTCCCTGGGACCTCGTGGTCCCAGTTCTGGACTAGGGACATGTTGGATTGAGCTAAATTCAGGGGACAGTATCCCCATAAAGGTGTATAAACCAGCCACCCCCAATGCAAGCCTGGGGGCTCCTGGAGGACCCCATCTCAGGATCCCCAGCAGCTCTGGCCCTGGCCCAGGAGCCCACCAGACCCTCCCTACAGGCCCTGCACCCTCCCCTCCTGGGAGCCTGCGGCCCGAGCCCCATACAGAGTTCAGCCTCTTCAGCTCCACGTCACTCTGGTCTGGGAAGTGGACACTGACGGCCACCGTCTCGATCCAGGCGTTGTCCGTGTTCCGAGGGTCGTCCACGTAGCCTTTGTACACCTGGGGGGCAGCGCAGGGTGAGCCAGACCCCCCATCCGACCCTGAGCCTGCCGGCTTCCTCCAGAGCAAGGGCCTCCCTATCCTGAGCTCGGCGGACCCTGGGACACTCTGAGCACAGCTGCATGGCACCCAGGTCCCTGGCCTGGCTCTCCCCCTGCCTGCCCAGCTGCTGCCACCCCAGCCTTCAGCCTTGACCCTGAGGCGGCCCACGGGCCCACTCATGGCCCTCCTGGCCTCTGGCCTGTCATCTGGGCCCACCCGGACTGTCCACGGAGGGTTAAAAATGACAGTGGGCCTTGAAAACACTAAACCAGACACCAGAGACCACATGCTGTGTGCTCCACGGAACATAAATGTCCCGAACAGGCAAACCCAGAGACAGAAGACAGATGAGGCGGCCAGGGGCTGGGGGAGGGAAGGAAGTGACTGCGGATGGGGTGTGGGGGCTCTTTTTGGGGTGATGAAATGTTTCGAATTAGACAGAGGTGATGGTCACACAGCACTGTCAATGTACTAGATGCCACGGAACGGTCTTTAAAATGGTTAGTTTTATGCTGTTTGGATATCACCTGGATAAATTAACTATTTTTACAAAGTAAGGGAACGGGAAACGGCAGTGTCCCAAAAGCATGGGACAGGGACGAACCATAAGGACCAGCTGGTGCAGGTCAGAGCCGTGAGTACCGGCAATCGCCTGTTTCATCCTGACATGAGTAGAAACAGGACCGGTGACCACTTAGATGCCACCTAGAGGACTGTTTAAG